CCTGGTAATAACTGAAAATAAATATTTTTGACTAAGATATGATAAAATGAATTCTGTCCAACAAAATGCAGAATTTTGGTTGTGTACAAAAATGAAATCAAATGAGCTTGCAGTACTTGCAAAAAAGACAAATGAATATTCCACCCGGAATAATACGCCTGGCTCATCCAGGAAATCAAATTGTCATCCCCTCAAGACATTTCAATAATTTTTTCTGCGAATTACTGTTTAAGCACAAACATACCAGCCCAGCAGCGGTTGACTTAAGTAGATTATTGCACCGGTCTTCTATCTTATTTTTAGTAACAATTATTTGTATCAATGTCATTTTTAGATCTTTTAACAAAATAATCTATGCTGTTCCCGTCTATGGTGTCTGTGAAAACTGGATCACGATCACTGACCTATCGTGGTTAACACTAGAACTACCCATCTGGGTGATTACAATATCGGAGTCACTTAATTCACTAGTAATGTCTACTCTTCTGTGTCACTTAACATGAAGTATCACGATTAGACTATAATTGCAAATAAACATGAGCATCACTGAGTATTGGATCAAATGTAAAAACATTCGAATTCAAATCAATGACCGATCTAAACATTAATCGATAACAGGTTTATTACAAGTATTCTGACCAACACCAAGATCGCTCTCAAATCATACATTTTCATAAAGAAAAGTTCTAAATTTCGACACACTTTTTCAAGTGTTTTGCAATATTTATCGTTTTGCCATTGATCTTTTGAATACCTTAATGTGCAGTAAAAAATCAAAATAAATCAGTATCAACTAAAAAAACAATTAGACAAGACAGATCAATACTCCTATCTTAACTATTTTATGGGGGAAATTATACCACTCGAAACAAACTCTTACTGAACAATAGCTTACAATAATAATGATTATATTTATACTAATAATAATAATAATAATAATAATAATAATAATAATAATGAATATATAATAATAATACTAACAATAATAATGAACATATAATAATCATAATGAACATATAATAATATTAATGATGATAATAATAATAATGATAATAATAATAATAATAATGATAATAATAATAATGATAATAATAATAATAATGATAATAATAATAATAACGATAATAATAACAATGATATTTATTTCAACAGGGTAAGCACAATAAGTACAAACACTATTCTCTCTAAAGGCCCTCACATTCCACTCATTATACACCACACACATTTTTTCATAACCAAGACAATTATAAATTATACAGAAGGAACTATTGCTATTAGTTACATTTTAATAATTCCTGTACAATCCACTCAGTAAACACTTCGAAAAGTTTTGATTTATGAGTATCTATATATGACATGTGATGCAGTTCTTCTGGGAACTTAATATATATTTAGACCAGACAATGCAAAAGGTATTATTTGTTGTTGCCTATGGTATGTTAGGTAATTGAGTTGTATTCTATCTTAGTTGCATTCATATTTGTTACTTTTTAGCTTTTGTTAAACAGATATTGTGAGACAGATCCAATAAACATAAATTATATGTAAATATATATAAGGCCCTATGGTAGAATAAACGATTATTAAATCTAAGCCAATATAACTTTTTTAACAGTGTATCTGATGGGTAATCATAAGGTAGTTCCTAAATACTTGTTGCTACCTGTTTTTGATGTTTATCTTTTCTACTAGTATTTTAATCACTGCTATTTCCCCAAATTGCTAGTCATTGATAATTGATAAAATCACAATGATTAGAAGTTGTGAAAGGTTCATTAACTTTAGGATACTTAACATATATTCTCTTTTTGCAAAAATTATAGACCACCAGAACTTTGTTTAAAATTAAGTATGCTTACCGGAGAGAGTACTATGTATTCATTGCTTTTCGATGGCATAACCATGATATAATCTTTCGAGGCTAATAGATTTTTTCCTCTATTCACGATACTTGGTTCCCAAGATAAAAATGAATCCAAAGTTATTAAAACCTAATGATATATACCACATCATATTGATCTAGTTTTGTCTCAGTAAGACTGTAAAACTCATATTATGTTCTTTACACAAAGAAATACATCCTATGAATCAGGGTTTCTTTACTAAGAAGCAATCTCATAAACATTTTAGGCTAAAATCTTAAAATTTTGTATTAAAAGATACAACACTTTCAATGTTTTTGTTAGAAATAGAAACAAACAACTTTTCATTTAAATGATGACATGATGCAATGCCACATTATTTCATTCTGGTACATCCCATAAATTTGGTAAGGCCTAACTGCTTCAAATTAGCATCGTCAGAGCATAATTTTAACAGGTAAATATGCTTTCGGTGTGAAATTATGTTATTTTATAGTCCACAAATACCAGTAGACATGAGGCATTGAGATATAGCAACGCCTGATTTTTTGTTTGTTTGTTCAATAATTTAAGAAGCAGAGAAGCTCACTAGATATAATATTCATTTGGTTTATTTTCTTTTAAACTCGGTAGTAAGGAAGCTCAATACCCCCAGTCATGATGTCATGTTGGTTTGTCCTCCTGGTTTTCCTGAGGTATACTATGGATGCATCTTTATTTGTTGGATACCAATTTACGTGGATTTCATGGATTAAGGTGAACCACGAATTTAAATGTTCAATACAATTCAAAATTTCTACATGCAAATTGTGTAGGCAAACTTTGACAAAACCCCAAAATCAAATATTCACAAAGATACAATTTTTTTTTAATCCACGAAAATTGGTACCCATGAAACTAAATGAGTCTATAGTATGCATTGATATTTTATAGTGTGTCTTTCTATGTTGTGATGTTATACTATGGTTTCAGAAAAAGGGAGAAGGTTTGGTACCATTAAAACGTTTAATCCCGCTGCAAATGTTTGCACCTGTCCTAAGTCAGGAATCTGATGTACAGTAGTTGTCGTCTGTTTATGTAGTTCATACGTGTTTCTCGTTTCTCGTTTTTATATAGATTAGACCGTTGGTTTTCCCGTTTGAATGGTTTTACACTAGTAATTTTTGGGGCCCTTTATAGCTTGCTGTTCGGTGTGACCCAATGCTCCGTGTTGAAGGCCGTACCTTGACCTATAATGGTGTACTTTTATTAATTGTTACTTGGATGGAGAGTTGTCTCATTGGTACTCATACCACGTCTTCCTATATCTATTTTACCATCGTTGTCCCAAAAATACAAGTTATAGTGACATTCAAGTTTGTTGTCTTATCGGCACAAAAAGCAGCAAGAGGTTAAAAAAGAATTAAAAGGGGTTAATAGATAAACATGTAAAAATGTCAATCATCCACATGCAAGGCTTGGTCATATGTCAAACAAAATGCTGATTAAAAAATTGTAATATACAAATAAGGAGATGTGGTAAGATAACCAAAAGGACAACTATCTACCAGAGTTTAAGTGAAGTCGATGTTAGCAATTCTACATATCAAACATGCAATCACACACACACACAACACAAAATAATAAAGGACAGGATAGTATTGTCAACTTCAATACATCGTACTATAGACATTTAATGCATTTTCCAAAACAATACATAGCCATGCAGGATATTTATCTACAAAATCCACAGGGAAAATTGTTTAATTATTTAAATAATAGACACTTTTGAATTTTACAACGCTTTAGATTTATGTGAACTATTATTTTTTATACAAAAAAAAACAGAATATTAAAAAGAATTAATTTGTAAATCATGGAAATATTATCTTAAAGTTTAATTATGATATTTTTCCTGTACCTTTTTGTCTTGTCACATATCCCGTGGAAACAATTCTCAAACATTAATACCTGTATCTTAAGTATTCGAGAAGATTCGAATGAATATGACATGTGCAATGCATAAATGACACTACTTGAGAGATGGAATTAATTTGCATCTTAAAAAAATTATTGAAGACAGAATTATTATCATACACACAAAATAAAAATAACTATTTTGTTACTGAGACGTATATTCAATATCTAACTATGAAAAATTAATAAAAAATAAACCACTCTATTTCAATCATGAAAACTTATTTATATGTAAGTTATTGTTAGGGTTGGTAACAATTTACCTGTACGAGTAAAGTTTTGATGCGAGAAGTAATTCACACACCAGAATACTCAATAGCCAAATACATTACATCTAACCAGGTAGTCTAATTATTTTGGCCCCCACCCCACACTGTATATTCAATAGTACATGATATCACCCCTGGTTTAATGTGGGTTTCATGTTGCTCAGTCTTTAGTTTTCTATGTTGTGCTTTCTGTACTATTTATGTTATGTCGGTTTCCGTTTTTCGCCATGGAAAGTTTTCGACTTATGAGTTAGGATGTTCCTTTGGCATCTTTCTCCTTTTTTTATTAGACCCTTAAAATGGTCAATTTCTCATGATTGATGACCCTTGATCAATGGTCACAATTTGTTAGTGGTCATACCAGATGGTGGACATTTATTAAAGTTTATCCCGCGTTGAACTATGCAAGATACTCAATTGACATCCAAGAAAAATTTCTCGCAGAGGTACGCAGTAAGGTCCAAATACTCCACACATATAATATTGTGTCTGCAGTACAAAGAAATATGTCTGCGGAATTGTCCGAATGCTCAGAGGACACAAATGTTCATAAAAGTCCATAGAAAATCAGAAAAAAAACTTAACCAAGAGTACAAACAAGATCGATTTTATGTGATTTTTTTAGACCCAAAAAATTCCAGTTGCTGAAAAAATAAAATTACAAAAATACCAAACCCCAAGGGAAATTCAAAACGGAAAGACCTTTATAAAATGGCAAAATCAAAAGCTCAAACACATCAAACGAATGGAAAGCAACTGTCATATTCCTGACTTGGTATAGACATTTCCTAATGCAGAAAATGATGGATTAAACCTGGTTTTATAGCTAGCTAAAGCTCTTACTTGTATGCAGTAGAATATAATTCCATTATATTGACAACAATGCGTGAGCATAACAAACAGACATAATAGGTAAAAATGTCAAAAATACTGCGATTTATTCTAAGTTGTAACGGCGCTGTTATTTTCATACTAATCTTTTCTTGTATTTAAAAATCTTATATACACCCTTTATTTTACCCTTAGTCTTTATTAAAAAAAACCTTTAAGATCAATCTGCATTTTAAATTCAACGTTATGCTTCACATAAATATGTTCTTAGTTGCAAGTAATATTCTTAGATTTTCAGGCCATATCTATTCATAAGATAAATTGACTTTTGTAAAGTAAACGCCTGTACGTAAAAGATTACAAATAAAACCAAATGAATCACAAAAACAAATGCACCTTGACCCTATCAGTTCATCTGCTTCACTAACCAGAACTTTACTATTCTGTCCATCCTTTGATATCACTATTATTCTATCTGAATTCCAGTCTGCTACAATAACGTTACCATAAGTATCTGTACAAAGTCCCTTTGGTCCTGATAAATCCTGTTGATATTGCCAGATATGTTTACCTGATCCATCAATACAGCTAACTGCTTTGCCACGATAGTCAGTATAGATAACTGCGTCATTACAGTTAACAAGATGAAACAGTTGTGATTTATTTTTAACTTCAAAGGACCTCAGTGTATTTCCTTCCAAGTCTATAGTACGGATTTCATTTTTACCCAAACCTACAACAAGATCATTATTGAAGAAAAGTAAACCCCAACATTGTTTGTCTAATGTGAGAACTTTTGTTATGGTTTCATTCTCTATATTGATCATCTTGATGACTTTCAGAAGAGGATAGGTAATAGCAATAGCGGCCTGTTTAATCTCTGTGACACTCCAGGCTCCATCAGCTATTGGTAGCTGTTTCTGAAGTTTGGCATCTGAAGTAAGTATATTAACTTTACCATGAGGTTCCACTACTATAACTCTTCCATCTGTAAGAAAAATCATGTCACTTATGCTGGCAATATTACTTAAGTTGGTATGTAACTTTGTTTCAATATTCATTGTCATGTTGTTTATGTTTGGTTGTTTATTTTGTTCTTGTGTGTCTACTTGGGCTTCCTTGTTTACGCTTGTTTCTTTCCTCAGAGTTGTTTTAGTTTCATCAACCTCCACTTCTCCTAAGGAAATTATTAATTTCACTTTGCTTAGTATCTGATCGATCTCATTATTTGGCTTAAGTAACATGTCAACCTCTCTAACCGTCTCATTTTGTTCTTCGATGTATAGTTGATATTGATGTACTTGTTGTTCAATCTGATGTACTCCTAGAAACGATTGGAGTTTTGATGCATGTACATTACTTGTACGTAAATTATTTTTCAGTTCTTTTAAACTTTTCTCTTTTTCTTCAATTTCCGTAATGAAACCTGTTAATTTTGATTTCTCCTGGCTCCATACAGTATCAGCTTCTTTGAGTATTTTTGTCTCTAAGTGTTCCAAATGTTTATTGATTTCCTTTCGAATTTTTCTGACTGATTTTTTGATACTTTGGTGTTGTCGTTCTCCTCTTTGTATGTTTTCTGATTTGTTGTGAGCCATTTTATTCAAAAAATGTAAGATGGAGTTTATGTCTTTTTCTATTGACTTTTTGGATTCTTCAATCTTGGTTGTCTCCACTACACTTGCTAATTTTTTTATCCCAGTACATTTTGAATGGCTCGAAGAAATGCATTCATCACAGCAAGGCTTTAGATGACTTGGACAATACGACTTGATCTGTTGACTATGTGCGTCACATTCGGTTTGAATATCAACGGTATTTTGATCATGAGTTATTAAACTAACTCTTTCATGATGGCATGAACACGTAGCGCATAATCCTTCATCACAGTTGTAACACCAGATATCAGCTTTAGTGTTCACTTGATCTTTTTGACAACGTCCGCTTACTACATTTTTACTTGATGCCATTACCTAAACAAATACATAATTTTTTTCAGTGTCTTAAGATATTTCATTGTTTTATTCCTTAAGACATATGGTGTTTGTTGCAAAGCTTTGCTGATCTCTTTTTCAATTTATTCACTATATCTAGAGTACCACATCTTCCTATATCTAGTTTAGTGCGTGACATTTGTTTATTGTTAATGACAGTAAGTTGAAAATTACAAATAATATTATTTTGTTTGTGTTGTTGGGATTCTATCTCTGATGTTATAAATATTAACCTCATCTTTTTATATAAAACATAAGCTGTTTTGCTTGCATGACATTGTCAACTACAAACGAACTTACAATTATCTTATATTTTGAGATTGCACAACGTGCTTTGAGGTGCACTGACTGATATTTTAGTCTAGGAAAACATGATTTACTAATATTTGTTTTGCCAATAATTCATTTTATTATGTTATTACACACTTTTAACACAAGTTGTTTCCCTTTGCCAATTGTAGACTTACAGGCATTCAATCCTTTTTTTTTTATTAATATCAATAGTTTTTAGCTGCAAAGATTATATGAAAATTAATAGATTTGAAACAAATTTGGGAGACAATACCTTGCACCTACACGTCAAGAATATCATATCTCAATGCTATGATATGCTATAGTATTCTATACTATTCCACAAGGCAAAATCTAAAACACGCTGATGTGAGCTAATTACATGGGAAATTTTGAACAATTTCTTGACTTAAATGTTTTTTCTTGATCACAGCTGTCTGCTTCTATCGCTCTTAATTACCTGCAAGCTTAATGTATTATTTGTTATTTCTTTGTTTCCCCTTAAAAATGTCGATGAATATTCATTACCCATATGATCGTTCAGTTTATTAACAATGTTTTTAGTCAAATTATTCCTACAGATTTTCTGCAATAAAGACCACTTCTTTGTTAGAAAAGATATTTGGTTAAACAATTATTTCATTTGAAAACATTTGGTGCACAAATAGACAATCTGAACAGACGTTCTTCATAAACTGATCGTGTTATTTGTTACCGTGTTTGGCTACCCTATCACAAGTCTATTAATATAGAGGAGGATGATTCCTATATTCAAACTACTATTCCTTTAATAGTTATCAAAGGTACCAGGCTTATAATTTTGATACGCCGGACGCGCGTTTCGTCTACATAAGACTCATCAGTGACGCTCAGATCAAAATAGTTAAAAAGCCAAACAAGTATAACGTTGAAGAGCATTGAGGACCCAAAATTCCAAAAAGATGTGCCAAATACGGCTACGGTAATCTATGCCTGGGATAAAAAAAATCCTTAGTATTTCGAATAATTTTTTACTTTGCAAACAGTTAATTTATAAAAAAGAATGACCATATAATTGATATTCATGTCAACACCGAAGTGCTGACTACTGTGCTGATGATACCCTCGGGGACGAAACTTGCCTGACATTATTTCATTAGAAAACACTTCATGCATCATATACAATATAGGAAAATATAGGTGACTGCTTCACGTCCTATGGTGAATACTACACTTATATTTGGAGCAATAACATAAAACATGTAATATGATATTAAGATACCTGCATTATATAGATCCACGCACGACATTGATTTTCTAACGTGCTTATTGATAAGCTGATTCGTTATTACTTGTTTTCATTATGGCTATTAACCAAAACGTTTTATTTTTAATTCATAATTGTCGAAAAGATTCTCTACAGAGAACACATAAGAAAATTAGTCTATTCCGAATGCAGATAGTTTTTTTTTTTTGCCATTTTCTAAAAATATCTTAACTGTTGAAGGAATTTGTTTTAAAAAGTCATTCTTTTTTAAACATTGGTGCACAAACATCAAATGTGACAAAAATTAACCACTATTCCCCTAAATTGATTTACGTTCACTTTAAACACATGTTTCCCTTTGCACTGAACCCTGCATTACACATATAATTGTTTTAGCAATAAAACGGATAAGCCTCAAAAGAACCTTTAAATTCCCATTTCTCTCCTTGAGAAAGGTAAATATTTTTGTATCCAAGTTACATTTGACAACACTTACTAAAGGATTTTCTATATTTACAAAATGTAAGCTATAGAAAAGCCATCAATACGATACTTCTTTAAATCATCTAATCTTTAAATTTATCTTGTTTGCATCGTGAAAGGCAAACAGTTACGTATCTAAGTAATTCATAACAATTCATTAAGGATTTTCCCCTTTTTCAAAGCATAAACTATAGAAGATGGATCGATACCCTTTTTAATCGCATTATCTTTAACGTCTCATTTATTTTTCGTGGGAGATATTAACATTTACGCATCTAAGATAATTTTGACAACACTTCATAAAGAATTTTACAATTTTACAAAATATCAACTATAGCAGAATTCAAAATGACAAATAGGGATCAATACTTTTTTATATCACCATATCTTTAATGTTTCATTTCTTTTCTTGGGAGACATGCACATTTACGCATCTAAGTTAATTTTGACCACACTTCATAAAGGATTTTACAATTTTACAAAATATCAACTATAGCAAAAAGTAAAATAACAAAAATACCGAACTCCAATGAAAATTCAAAACGGAAAGTTTTTATCAAAGTAATGGGATCGATACCCTCTTTAATCACCTTATCTATAAATTATCTTCCTGTCTTTAGGAGAGACACATATTCACGTATCTAAGTTATTTGATAACACTTCGTAAAGGATTTTCCAGTTTTCCAAAATGTGAACTATAGCCAAGCGATCGACACTCTTTAATCTCCTCATCTGTAATTTCAAACTTTAATTTCAGACATTCTTAAATTCTGTGTGCAATTCAGACAGAAACTAATTTTTAACAAAAGAAGATTTTCAGGTGAACAGTGTATATAATTGAAGAACTCATATTCCTCCGTTTCCATGGAGGAAATATGCTATTTTTTTTTATCTTTGAACGTCACCAATGATATAATGAAAAGCCAATGGAAATATCGTGTTGCTAGATTGCAGCCGATCACATTAAGTCATTTTTTGTATCACTTATTCATATCAAACTCCGTGCATTGAGATGCTAGAAATATCTCTTCATGCAAGAAATAGATAACAGACCACAAACATAAGAAATTATTTATCATAATATTATATTGCCAGAGAGTATATTATGGTATTGGTTGCAAAAATTTGATATTTTTCATTTAAATGCAATATTTTTTTATTTAAATGGTATATTTTTTCATTTAAAATGCAAAATTTTTTATTCAAATGGTATAATTTGTCATTCAAATGCAATATTTTTTAATCAATTGGTATACTTGTCATCTTAATGCAATATTTTTTATTCAATTGGGATATTTGTCGTTTTAACTTTAATTTGCAGTCTTTAGTTTTCTGCGTAGTGTTTATTAGACTGTTGCCTGTCTTTCCATCGTTTTGTTTTGTGATGATAGTGTCTGGGTTTTTTTCCTTCTTATGATTTTTGATTGTCTCTTTGTATTTATTCAAAACGTCACTACAGACATGAGCATATCAAACGAGTTGGGAATATACCGCAAAAAAGGATTACGGAACATCACCGTCTAAAAGGGGACATAAACGATAAGGAACGAAAATCGTATCGTATGTAATCAATTTTTGTAAAGTGTTTTCCGTGTGATACTACAATATTCAAATCTTAAAAAAGAACTAAAGTGTTGTTTTTACTTTTTATTGCTGTTTATATTAGATTTCTTTAAGGTGATCAGTTCCCTTTGGCAAATTTTCCCGGTATGCTTACAGAATTAAAATTTTGTTAAGAAATGCTAGACTGTACACAATCAGATTGATTGATTGATACCGCCTCGGAAAGCAGCTAAGAATGAAGCATTATGGTGTATTATATTGCTAATTTTTTTCTTTAAAGAAAAAGAATATATACCATGATATACATTGTGATTCCTATGTCCAAATTTAAATTCAGAATTAAGTCCCCTTCTCTTTCATTTGTTTTTCTTTCTCTTTTTTGTAAAGCAACTTATGATTTTTATATTGACCTAGTGCCATCCTAAAACTTTTTAAATGAATCCTAAACAAAAATTCGGGTTCTTTTATGCTTTAACACAAATTTGTATGTTCATGCTTTTATTTGCAAATTTCTAAAGAACTGCAAAAAAGAGTCTGCAGATACAAACGAGACAATAAAAAATCATGAGAAGGAAAAAAACCAAGACACTACCATAACAAAACAAAACGATGGAAAGTTGGGCAACAGTCTAAAAAACACTACGCAGAAAACTAAAGACTGAGTAACACGAATGACCTAATATACCATTGGTCACTTTTAAGAAAATCTTTCATTATTGACGATTGCTTCTGATGGATGAAAAGGGCTCTTCTTCCAATGAATATTTCTTCCTGTTGGTTACTGAATTTTGCATAACATGAGCAACATTGCGGGTTCCACTAGTGGAACAAGATATTCCTAACCTTCCAGAGAACCTTAGTTCACGCCTAGATTTTATTTGAGGGGAGACGTTTTAGTTTTGCTTTAGTTTTCTGTATTATCTTTTGTGGTATTCAATGTATTTGTCATAAGAAAATGGTTTTATTTCAAATTGTTAACATATAGAGTAGGAGACTAAACGTGTTCCGATATTTTGTTTTGGTTTTGTCTTATGTATAGATATAGCGAGGAAGATTTACCAAGTTTATGCTTCATTATAACGGGTTATGACTCTACAACGGATTTAAACTGTCACTAATTGAAGTGGGAAAATCCCAAAACCGTACGTACAACGTCCGTTTTGAACTGCTTATCATTCCAGTGCACATGTTTCGCCAGTTTTAGTTTAGGTTCGTGTTGCTCAGTTATGTAGTGGTCTGTGATGTTTTTTGTGGTCCGTTGTTTTTCTTTTCGTCTCTTTTGTTTTCCTTGTCATTTTTTGTCGTTTTTTTTTTTTTTTTTTTTTTTTTTCTTCTATTATAAGTTTAGTTTGATTAGAATAACAAACTTTGTATTT